GAAAAACCTTTATTGCTATTTCCGACCATTTTTTACATTCAACTTGATTTAAGATCACTTTCAGGTGGTCGGAAATTCCATAATTTCCAGCAGTGGGTCCACAAAAAACTGAGAAAAAATTTAAAACTGATGTGGAGAAGAGTTATTTGTGATTGAGTGAGATAGTGGAGAATGAGGTGGATGCTGGGGCCCACAAATAACTCCTAAAAAATCCCAACTGATAAGGATGCTCTTAGGGGGCCTTTGGTTCAAGGTATCAAAGGTAATCTGAGAAAGGTAATCTTAGATTACCATGTTTGGTTTAAGTAATCTGAGAGGGTAAGTAATACAAGATTACTGTCACGTAGGAAATGAGAGTATATTTGAGGTAATGTGATTACCAAATTTTGATTAGGTAATGTGAGATTACTTTTCAATATTCCAAAATTGCCCTCATTTATTTGTCTTCTATTCATTACCATGGTTGCAGTAGGCGCTAGGCGCTAGTCGGGTGCCCGGACAGCGCCTAGCGCCTAAGCGGAATCTAGGTTGCGCTAGGCGAGCGCCAAAAAATAGTGGTAGACTTGCAGTTTGATAATTTTAATGAGGTTGTTTTCAACATTTAATCAAATAACACACCAAATAAATGAATTAATTATAATTCATAAGTCATAACATCAAAACAATGATTTTCAAAAAAAACATTGAAACAATATTAAAAATTAAAAATACTCAAATATGAAATACTCAAATACTTCAATCATCAAAAGATTCAAAGTATCAAACTAGTCTACGAGTGTATATATGTCATATTATATATATGTATGCGCGCGTGCAGACACACATACATACACACATATATATATATAATAAAAAAATAGTCCAAGCCGATCGGGTTAACTCGACCGAAATGGACGAGTTAACTCGACTAACTTAGACGCTAGACGGCCAAATCGGCCGAGTTAGGCGCTAGGCGGACGCCTAGGCGGCCCGTAACCTAGGCGGGGCGCTTAGGCGAGAAATTGCCACGGTCTAAAGGCGCCTAGCGCCTAGGCGGACACCTAGACCGATTTTTACAACCATGTTCATTACATAGACCTCATTATTCAATTATTATTATTATTATTATTATTATTATTATTATTATTATTATTATTATTATTATTGAATTGCATCTTAACAGTACTCATCATCATCATCATCATCGTCATCATCGTCATCATCGTCATCGTCATCGTCATCATCATCGTCATCGTCATCGTCATCATCATCGTTGTCATCATCATCATCATCATTAGAAGCTTGTTAAATTTTGAATTATGAAAACAAAAACTTGTAATTTACACCTTTCAATTTCTAAGAGGGCATTTAAGTAATTGATATAATATAACTTAAAATATAACCTTCAACCAAACAAGTTAATGTTACATTCCTACAACTTTAACCAAACTTGGGGTAATTAAAGATTCCGTGAACCAAACGCCCCTTAGGCTATCCTCACTCCTGCAAATTTGATATTGGCAAAGTGACATGGCAAGATAGATAAATCTTTTTTTTTTTATTTAAAGCCAAGTGTCTTGCAATATGAGAGAGAATTGGCAAATATAGCAAGGGGAGAGAGAATTTGCAATTATCCACTTTTTGTACTTTGATTGGATAGGCTGTAGTATCTGTTCATATACTTTCTCGATAGGCTGTAGCTTTTACTTCCAAATATTGGACTTATTATTACTTTTTAATTTTATTATTTCTTTTAATATTATTTTATTATTATATCTATAATATAATATGAAAGTGGGACCCATTTTTTAAAATGAAAGAGATTTGCAGGGATATATAATAAATAGTAAAGAATTTGTAAATTTGATGATATGGAAGTGGGACCCATTTTAGCAAATGAGTGAGATTTGCAGGATAATGTTAGCCTTAGAGCATCCACATCAGTGGATATTATGTAATTATTGTCAGATGAATTATTTTGGGTGGGGATAATAACAAATGTGGGGTAGGGTTATTTTTGAAAATATTTGTTCTGCAAATTCAAGGAAAATGTCAGAAAAAAAGGAAAAAGTAAAATAAAAAACAACAACGCTCACAGCCAATGTCATTGCACGCGCCCGTGTAGCGCGTTAGGTTTTTATTATTTATTTTTTCAATTTTTGTTTTGTTATTTTTTTTCTCTCCCCTCCCACATTCTCTTTCCTAATCACTCTTACATTATCTCCCAAATCTCCCCAACTAATGTGGATGCACTTAGAGCATCTAAACTAGTGAAGAATAGTGAGTTATTTCACCAATAATTCTCTCAAGCTAAAAATAATATTGATGTGGGGGAGAATTAATTAGGGAAGAATGCATCTGTAAAATAGGAAATAATGTCAGAAAAAAGAAGAAGAAAGAAAAAAAGAAACAAAGCGCACAGCAGCCCGCCCATACGGCACGCGCCTTACAGTTTTTTTTTTTTTTTCCTCTCTTCCCCACATTCTTTCTCCTAATCACTCTTACATTATTCTCATATTCTTCCCAACTAATATGGATGCTCATTTTGGGTTTGGTTCTCCCTGCAAATATATGGTTTATGTCAGCTTTTGTCAGCTGAAGCACTGACCAACCGCGCCCACTGCCCAATTGTATATTTGGATATATCCCTGCAGGCCGGGAAATAGCTTTGTTATTTTATTTTTAATATTTTGCATATCTCCTAATCACTCTTACATTATTCTCATATTCTTCCCAACTAATATGGATGCTCAGAGCATCCACAATGGTTGGGGAGAATTGAGAGATAATGTAAGAATGATTAGGAGAGAGAATGTGGGAAGGGGAGGAAAAAAAAAACAAAAAAAATCAAAATCAAAATGCTCTATTTTGGGTTTGGTTCTCCCTGCAAATATATGGTTTATGTCAGTTTTTGTCAGCTGAAGCACTGACCAACCGCGCCCACTGCCCATTCGTATATTTGGATATATCCCTGCAGGCCGGGAAATAGCTTTGTTATTTTATTTTTAATATTTTGGCAGTTGTTTTGCCCTTGCACAACAACGGTCACAATTTTTTTTTTTTAATAAAATTGTTTTTGTTTATATAATCTGTTTTAGCCATGTAGTAAATAATTTAAATTTTAAATATTATATTTATTAGTAATTTAATTCTATAATTATCATTTCAACTAAATGTAGATACATTAAAAATTTATAATTATAAAATTATTTGAATTTTGATATGTTTAATTTAAATATAATAAAAATAATAATTGTAATTATAATTTTTATAAATTATAATGATAATAAATAAATAAATAATTAAAATATAGAAATGGTAAATTAGTGGGTCCACAAAAAGTTGTGAAAAAACTTAAAACTAATGGGAAGAAGAGATTTTGTGATTGAGTGAGATAATGGATGATGAGGTGGATGTTGGGGCTCACAAAAATCTGGGGTAAAATCCCCAACTATTGAGGATGCCTTTAGGGTATCCGCATTCATGAAATCTTCTTTAATTTTAGGCACAAGTCAAATAGAACCATCTACTACTGCGAAGTGCTCAATTTCCACCACGAACTAAATTAAAGTCTAATCAGCCACATTTACTAGCTAAATTTGTTTATTTGGTTTTTTTTTTTTTTTTTTTTTTTTTTTTTTTTTTTTTTTTTTTTTTTTTTTTTTTGCAGGTTGCTAATCGGTTGCTTATTCAATTATTAAAAAATAAAAATAAAAATAATAATAAAAAACGGTGTCATTTTTTTAAGTAAAGAAATGGCAGCTATTAAATTTTAACAATAATCTCGTACTTTTTGTATGTTCAACTGAATAATTTGTCTCGCATATTGTGTTTATATTATCAAATGAAACTGTAATTAAATTGAAATGATACTTTAGTTGTGTTGAAATTAAATGAAACTGCAGTATATATTAAATTAAATGAATAACATGTCTCACATATTGAGTATATATTGTCAAATGATACTTTAGTTATATCAAAATGATACTTTAGTTGTGTGGTAATGAAACTACAGTGTACATAAAACGAAACGGAATAACAGTTTTAAATATTTGAGTGTATATTGTACAATAAAATGGTAATTGAATTAGAATTATAATTTAGCGGTGTTGTAACGAGAATACATTGTGTATAAAAAAGAAATTCAATAACATACATGTCTCACTGTTATAAGACTATTCTCTATAATCTGTATATATATAATGTTGAATGAATTGAAACTGTAACTGAAACAAAATGAAACTATAATTTTATATAAAATAAAACTGAATATGTTATACAAACATAACTAATTACATAGAATCGGTGTCATTTCTTTTTATTAAAAGAAACAACAGTGTTTTGGAGCATGTTGCACAGTAAAATTTGCCTATGCTATTAGCCTGGTTTTATTAACTTTACTATTTTTAATTTTAACTTCCAACATCTACCGTTTTGTTTTATTTAATTTGCAGGTCGTTGTAACTTGCAAGTATAAATTCAACAGATGGACTCGTCATTTTGTCTTGGAATAGAAATTTCTGATACACGACACGCAAGTAGAAATTGAACTCTTAAAATTCCGGAAATATGACTTTGGAGGACATCGTTTCTGTCACGCTAGTCGCTAGAATCATGGCCCATAACGACTTTAGCCATCAAGACTTCGGTGCGTTTTCTTGGCATACTCATTATTTTATTAATTAAAATGAAGCAAATTTACTACTATGTCAAAAATTATACTGAATATTTCGTTATAGGCTTCTGCTCAACAATCGAGCAGCCATCGAGTTAATTTTATTTTATTTTTTTTTTTATCCATCTTTGTCCAACAATTTCTCTACCAACATCAATTAGTCTTAAATGTTACACTTACCACTATGTCAAAAACTATAGCTAGTAAAGAATGCACAACTTTATTTCCTTATATAACCACACATTTTGGAGATGCAAAGTGCTGAACTTAGCCCTTTAAACAATTTCTCTGCAAGGTGAAAGCCTTCGTTTGGCAAGCTTGCACCGGGTATCTCCCAACTGCCGATATGCTCCGATGGCGTAGAGTGGAGTGTGTGACGACAGGCAGATTGTGTAACGTAGATGATGAGACAGGCGCACATGTGTTTTTCACGTGTAATGTGGCAAAGGAGTGCTGGAGGCGCCTCGGTGTGAATGTTGAAAACCATGCGATACACACATTTTCCATGGGGTTCCAGGCTCTGCGTAATTCACTGGAGGAGGACGGGCTTTGTTTCGGACTGGTCTTATGTTGGGGTATGTGGCAATGCAGAAATGCAGCGGTCTGGAGGGGAGAGGCTGTTAGTGTGGCGAAGATCTTCACTCTTGCTCAAAGTTTTTGGCAGGGGTGGAGACATGCGCATGAGATAGGGACCGAAGGGGTTGTGGCTGGCGTGGTAGTGCAAAGATGGCAGAGGCCGATGCTAGAGAGATGCAAATTAAATGTGGATGCAGCATTTAATGGGTACAATGGTAGGGCGGGGTTTGGATGGGTACTAAGGGATGCGCATGGCGCTTTCCTCGCGGCCATGGCAGCCCCCTACGGCGTAGCAGAGGATGCACGTATGGCAGAGGCATTGGGCGTACGGGAGGCGCTAAGTTGGCTGAAGGAAATTGGCGTCCAAAGAGTGGATGTGGAAATAGATGCTCAAGAGTTTTTCCACGCAGTGCGGGGGGAGCCAGGAGAATCTTATTTTGATCTAGTTATTGATGATATTAAAGATATTGCTTCTACAATTGTTGATTTGCAGTTCTTGTTTGTTAAACGATCAGGGAACCAGGTAGCCAATCGCATTGCGAGAGAATCTGGTTCCATGACTGATCGTGTTTCTTGGTTTTACATTCCTCCTGTTTTTATTGTAAGTTTGTTGATTTCCAATAATGAAAGTTGATATGGTTTTGTTTCAAAAAAAAAAAAAAAAAAAAAAAACTTAGCCCTTTAAACCCTTTACCAGCCCCGTCCCAATAATCTCAGCTATCAAGTGTTAGACAAATTATTGTGTGGATCATGGTCCACACAATGTTATGTGGACCATAACAAAAAGTACATTTTTAATATACTAAATGTACATTATTTTTATACTGAATGCACATTATTTTTACAGTAAACAAAAAATGATCCATACAACTTGTGTGGACCATAGTTTACACAATAATGATTGCAGGTGTTAGGCTTGGTCTTTACGGGCTTTCACCCAACATGAGCTAATATGATGATGGATGATTCAATAATTGTAGACTTTATAGTTTTGTGAAGACTTCTTGGACAGTGCAATCATGTGTCTAAAGAATGCCGTAACGTGGGGGGTGGTGATCTCCGCTATTCTACTAAGATTTGCAGCTTGTGAAGATATTGGATTCACCTTCAATGGCTTCTTGTGTAGCCAATCCCGACCAAAATCTTTTCTTGTGTAGCCTAAAAGTTGGGCCTAATGTTTCTTTGTAGCCTTTTATTATTATAATAATTCAAAAATTAATTAAAATTAAGCTAATAATAAAATTAACGAATTGAGTAACATGAGAAAATAATTGTAACTAAGTTAATAATGGAGAATAATAATTTAAGGAATTGAAAGTAATTACTGAGTATTTAAATTGTAATAAAATTATCTTTATAATCAAAATAAATATACGCAAATCTTCCAAAATATTAATATTTATAATAAATAAAATATTTTCAAAATTATCATTATAATGATAATTATAGTATAACAAATCTTTAATACAAAGTATTTAAATGGTAATAAAATTTTCTTTACAATCAAAAATTATTTTTATTCAATGAATATACAAAAAGGTAAAAAATCGTTGTAAATGAAAACTATTAAATAGATTTTAAAACTTAGTGTACTATAATATTGTTATTAGGTAGTCGTTTCCTTCTTTTTATTATTATACTAATTAAGGAATTAGTTTGACCCAAAAAAAAAAAAAAAAAAAAAAAAAAAAAAAAACTGATGAGTCCCTGCTACAGCATGGGCTGAATAAAAGCTGGAGGAATATCCCTCCATAACAAACGACCTGCTACAGCAGTTACATGTTTAGATAAGGAATGAGCCACATGATTGGCGTCCCTACTAACAAAACAAACTAGAGTTCCAGGCATAGCATTAATTAAACGGTTACAAGACAAAAGAGTAAAACCAAAATAATTGCGAAACGAACTAGAGTTATTAAGTCCCGAGACCAAAACTGATGAGTCCATGTAAATTCTTCCACCTGAGTACCCATTATCCTTGAACCAAGAGAGGGCTTCACATAACGCCATTGCTTCCGCTAAGAGAGGATCATACTGACACACCAAAGGACCATTTGCCGCCGCTACAAAAGAGGAATCTCCTTCCAAAACCACAAAGCCATAAGCCGGTGCATGATGTGTACCGTGGAAACCGGCATCCACGAAGCAATGGAAAGCCGCCGCTGCATGTGTGGACTAAGCAGCTGCTGCCGTGGAGTGCTGTACAGTGAGTCTGCTACAAGCTTCAATTTGGCGCTGTTCACAATTCTTCCAAGCGGTCCAGGACGCTGCATGGCGTCGAAGCAGCAAGAGTGGCGTCGTCAAGCTACCTTCCCACACTGCCATGTTCCTAGCGGACCAAATAGCATGGAGTAAACCACATATTTGGCCTTGTACATCAATACTAAAACCTGTTGCACCACCGAGCCACTCCTCCGTCCATTGCAAAAAACTCCTGTTGGCAAAAGAGGGGATATGAATTTGAGACATATGCCAAACATTGACAGCATAAGGGCACGAACAAAAAATATGCAAAACACATTCCTCGTATAAGCCACATGACGGGCAAATATTAACTAGGTCCACCCTCCTATTTATCAAATTATCAAGCGAGGGAAATATATTTAAAAGGGCTCTCCATAGAAACACCTTCCACTTGGGGGGAACCTGTAACTTCCAAACATTATTCCACACAGGAGAAGGCTGTGAATTTACAAAACCCAACCTTCTATAGCCGTCTTTAACCGAGTAGCACCCCCTTAACTCCCCTTCCCAGTACCACATATCATCATAATCCAAACTTACAGGCAGCTGTGATATAAGCATTGCATCCTGTGGATTAAACAACTGTTGTAAATAACCACCATTCCAACTTCCCGTGTGGCCATCAATCAGATCTGAGACTAATATAGCCTGGCCATTATTCACCTGTTCAGATTCAACATCAGGCTTTTGGGCATCCGGTAGCCAAGGAATTGTCCAAACCTGAGTAGATCTTCCATTGCCAATTCTGCGCCTGCAACCGGATTTTAACAAATCCTGACTGGCCATAATGCTCCTCCAAACGTAGCTATGATTACCACCCATAACAGCCTCATAAATGGAAGTAGTCGGGAAATACCTTGCCTTAAAAACACGTGCCATTAAGGAGTTGGGATTAGTAAGTAGCCGCCATCCTTGCTTGCCCAACATGGCCAGGTTAAACTCGTGCAATCACTTGAAACCCATTCCTCCAAACTTCTGGGGTTTACACATCCTATCCCAAGCTAACCAATGAATGCTTCCGTCATCATCACTCCGTCCCCACCAATACCTATTCATTAGCCTCTCCAATGAAATACATAAAGAAGTCGGGAGTTGGAAAATACTCATTGTATAAGTCGGCATGGCTTGTGCTACACTCTTCAAAAGGACCTCCTTCCCTGCCTTAGACAGCAACCTTTTATTCCACGATCCAAACCTCTACCTCAGCTTTTGCTCAACATAAGGAAAAACCGCCCTCCTGTTCCTGCCAACAACAGATGGCAACCCCAGGTATTTCCCAAAATCCTCAGCTTGTGCGACTGCCAAGGCCCCCGAAACGAGTTCTCGCGTCCCCTCATGAGTATTGCGGCTAAACGAGACATTGGACTTATGGAAGTTCACCGCCTGGCCAGAGAAAGACTCATAGACACTCATACACTTCTTCACCTCCATCGTTTCCTGCAGATTGGCTTTAAAGAAGAGCAGGCTGTCATCTGCAAAAAACAAATGCGAAATGGGAGGTGCCCCCCGGGGCACCCTGCATCCATGAATAAGATCCTTAGCCTGAGAATCCTGCAAAAGCAAAGATAACCCTTCTGCACAAATGGTAAACAAGTAAGGAGACAAAGGATCCCCCTACCGTAACCCCCTTGTAGGAACAATTTCCTCCGTAGGCCTACCATTTACCAAAATCTCCCACAAAAATCTCTTCTACACACAAATACCCATTACCCACCCTCACCATTAACCTTAAAACATCTCAAAACCAAAAACCCATCCCCTTCAACCCCTATTTCGAACTGCCGAAATTCCACCTGAAAAACCCACCTCAAAATTATCCCAATTTGTGTTCTATCAAGATGGAAGGAGCTTTCAATCAAATTGGAGCCGAAGGATCGAGGAAAATCACACGGGTGATTCATGGGATGATCTTGGACATAGAAGATTTAAACAAGCATGTACAAACCAAAGACTTGGGGGTAAAAATCTTAACCTCTCTTGAATCTAGTGGGTTATTGAATTTTTGCTCGTACAAGTATGATGGTTTTTATCTAAATGAAGTAGTAGAATTTTATAAACATGCATATGTCGAAAATGGTGTTATAAAATCTACTGTTGGAGGAGTTGCATTGTCAATTGGGTTAAATGATGTGCGAACCAAATTCGGTTTGGAGGAGAAAATGTTGAAAGTAGAAGATCATGGTTTTGACTTGAATGATTTTTGGAGTGAAATAAGGCACGAAACCGCACCGGTCGGGGCTTGTAATAATGGAAATAAGGTGATGTTGAAGCACGAATTTGGAATGCTACTAGATATTGTACATAAGATTATTGAGTGCAAATATTCTAGTAGAAATTATTTCACAAAGAAGAATTTGCCTTTGATGCATGCTATTGTGAAAAATGTTGCCGTAGATTGGGGTATGTTTGTGTATGGCCGAATGGTTGATCAAATTAGGCTAGCAAAACCGTTGGTGAATGGATGGTTTCCAAATGATGTTGGATATGGTTTTGTTGTTGGGGAGTTTTTGAAATCTAAAGGTGTTGCCCTATCCAAGTCAAGACCCATACAAAACCAAAATTACCTTTTTAGAACCCCAAACCCGGTTGATCCTTCACAAGCAAATACCCGAAAACGAAAACCGGCAAACCCATCAACCATTTCCTTAAACAAAAAGACTCTTTCTATCCGAGCATCTAGTCACGGGGAATCAAACACTCACGGGAGGGCTAGTGATGATGCTTGTAGCCATCCTTTTGTAACCCTACCCACACCCGTAAACCACCCGGCAAACCCGAATGAAGGAGTAAGAATTCAAAACAAGGTTGAGAGTGTAGATGACATTCCAACATATGGGGCGGATAGTGAGTTGTTAAAGGAGTTTGAACGTGTGAAATTTTGGAGGAATTGGAGATTGGGTGATCACAATTCGGTTGCTACAACCATAGGACCAAATACTCTTGAGTTAGAGGAATTTGCTTTAACATGGTTAGGCACAAGAAATCTTGCTACCGTGACAAGGCTATCGGTAATAAATGAATGTTTTATCAAGAAAGTTGCCAATAGTCGGGGCAAGAAAGTGGCACAAGAGGTTCCCGAAGTTGCCGTTGAGACAATTGATGGATTTGCTCGAGATGATATTGCCCGAGCCTTGATTATTTCGAGAGAACAAGTTCACGGTACACCGGGGAAGCATCACATTTGAAGGAGACCGAACATGGAAGCTTACAAGATTTGGATGCATTTCCTTCGAATATTGGGGAGGATAATCTTAGTTTTGATGCTATTTCTCCTCACACGGCTACGGATGTGACAAATTCGGTGAATGGAAATTTTGAGAATGCTCAAGCCACAATTAATCCAACAACATTGGAAATTGAAGAAAATATTGGTGATTTAAGGGAGCATGA